GTTATGTTTTGTGGTCTGTTAATCCTTTCATTGGCGTGCTCTTGGTTGGGTTTTGGCCCAGTATGAGCTGCTTTTAAATCTTGGTATTTTTCTCCACGTACAGAAACGTTTCCACTTCCCCTCCTCAGAGGTCAGTCCTCGTGGCAGCGGTCATGTTAGACACAGATCCTGCTGCCACAGTTACACTCAGCAGGCGGGTCATTAGTGTTAACCGGCGTAAACGCCACCACATGTGGCCTTAGTGGCGGTTCTGGGAAGAGGGCTGACTCACATACCAGAGGAGCTGCTGCGGCAGAGCGCTAACCCTCAATCTGCTAAAGTGTCTCCTGTCCACATCAAACGGCGGAAAAGCAGCGCTGACAAACCACATCCCAGAACGCAGGCGGCCCGGGTTCACATCCTGCAGACAGGAGCACGCCTCCGAGCCTCTGACATCATCCCGCCATGCTGATCACTTCCTGAGCAGGTGATGTTATTTAGCTTTCGGTGAAACTTCAAACTGCACGGGCTCTTCTGCTGCTGCTTTACGGGACTCTTTGTCATGTAATTGATGATCTCCGGGATGTTTTCCCCGAAACCAGCAGCTGGAAGGTGAAGCCTGATAAATCTACCGGCGTAGACGCTGCTGGAGTTAGAAGATCTTCTATCAGACAATTACAGTGTTGCAGACTTTGTGGAGTAATCCGATTACAAGTCAACCAAAGCTTTCCTCTCACAGGTTTGATTGCTTTTATGACGTCTTCGTCTTCGCCTTCAGCCGCCCTGCTCACTTCAGGAGAAAAGAACCAGGCTCTGGCCTTGTTCCCGCACAAACATCCCAGCTGACCACCGCCGAAGAGCCCAAACCAGCGTCAGCCATGCCTTCAGCATCTCTTCTTCTTTTGATGTCACTCGTTCCCCCCATGGGAAACGATGACCTCACGTCACAGCTTTTATGATCAGTTTATATGAAAACAAGTGTTCATTTATTCCAATATCTTTACTTGGTGATGCCACTTTTAGGCCATCGCTTGTCTTTCTCCTCGTCTCTCCTCGAGTTCTCCATCCATCACTTCCTGTTTTATTTTGGTAACAGCCTGTGCTTTCCCTCAGGTTCTGTGTACATCCTGTCCTGCCCAACATTGATAATTTAATTACATGTAAATTTTGTTAAAAGTAACAAACTTTCACTGTTTACAACATTGAATTTAATCGAGTGGTCAAATAAAATGTACGTGGCATGGTAGAGATTCATACTAAGCACATTTTCCTTAATAATTAATTATTTAAATACAAAAAAATTAAATAATAATCAGTTCCTGTGATTTTATTTTGGATTTGTGATGAACTTGTTTTTATTTTTGCCTGCGTCTGCTCGTCTCCTGCAGCACCTTCTGTTGCTCTTTCACATTT